CAAACAGGCAAGCCTCCGAGGCGTCTTTGTCCATTTTTGTCCGCCGAGAGTGTCCGGAATGGAAACATTAACGTCGTCCGACTGGAAGCTAGCAATCGCATGGTTCCTAGCACAAATGCGTTTGGACACCCAGGATAGAAGTTCATCGGTACATTTCCACACAAACAAGCAAGCCTCCGAGGCGTCTTTGTCCATTTTTGTCCGCCGAGAGTGTCCGGAACTGAAACATTAACGTCCTCCGATTGGGGACTAGCAATCGCATGGTACTTAGCATAAATGTACGGGCATCCAGGAAAGAATTACATCGGTACATTTGCACACAGCCAGGCCGACCCGGCCCAAGAGGATCCGGCCCGGAACACATTCGCATGGTACTTAGCGGAAATTTGTTTGGACACATGGGATAGAAAAACATCGATTCATTCTCACACAACCAGGCAAGTCTCAGAGGCGCCTTTGCCGATCTTGTGTCCGCCAAGAGAGTCCGGAACGGAAACCTTAACATCGTCCGATCTGGAGCTAGCGTTCGCATGTTGCTCAGCATAAATCTGTTTGGGAACCCAGGATAGAAATACCGCCGAACTTGCAGAACGATTTGGACTCCACCTGAAGCCGGCGAAAAATGCGAATTCTTCTCAACGTTCCATCACGATGAGCTACCGATCACGGTCAACGACGAAGAAGTCAAGGGAGTCCACAGCTTCTGCTACCTAGGATCCATTATCACAGCCGACGGCAGCGTCAGGGAAGACACTGCGCAACGGTCCAGGAAAGCGCGAACAGCGTTCGCAACTCTCCGCCGGTGTCTCTGGTCCTCAAAGGTGTCACGTCGGATGAAGCTTCGCGTATACCTCACTGCCATCCGGCCAATCCTCCTCTACGCTTCGGAAACGTGGCCGCTAACACTCACGGAGGAAGAGCACCTGAGACGACGCGAACGAGACTTTCTGCGCGAGATCCTAGGCTACCGCCTCCGGGACTGCATATCCAATGACCGCTTGTACCAGGAGGTCGCATCTGCATTGGGCCCAAACAGCCGGTTCAAAGACGTTGCGGAGACGATCAGACAAAACCGCCTCAAACTACTCGGGCACACTCTCAAACGAGAAGCAGACCGGCTGACGCAGATCGCGCTCTACTACACCGGAGAGGGCGGATGGCGCAGAAGACAAGGCGGAACTAGAATGACATGGCTGGAGGCCGTGAAGAAAGACCTCGACTCTATGAACATCAGAGGGCTACCGCAGTTCCGTGGTTCAGACGCAGTTCAAGCGTACAACAAGGGCGACTGGCTACGCGTCGTCCAAATCATCGCATACAATCGGAAAGTGTGGCGCCTTTGCTCCTGAGCTTGCAGCTGCACTCCTCACTACTCCCTGCAGCACTTCTCAGAGATTTCACCGGACTCTTCTCCATCTGGTTGCTCTGACCCAGTATGCTATATTTACATTTGCCGAAGTGCGTGTAACTGCACACTTGCAGCAATCGGTCAGGTTGTATTAAGCGGTTCGTCGTAAGGACAAAGTTTTATGAGTAGGCAATATAACCTAGCACAGCCAGGTACGAACAATTGACTCGCTTCCGTCTTCGAAAATTAAGATGCGCACACCTTGATCCAGGTTTCCGAGGGCATCGAACCCAGAAGGGCCACACGAGCACTTTAGAGGAAAGTTACAATTTCAGTATGCCCTTTGAGGCTTAAACGTGCTTAGCCGTCTGTCCCACAAGACGCTGTTGACCGGCGCCTTGTCTCAGAGTAGTCAACACAAGCTATCACAGCTAGGTATCGAACGATTGATTCTCTTAACCTGTTGAGCAGAACGTTAGTAGCAGCGTATGGATCGCTCCACTCGACAACTTCAAAACAACCATGATGTCGGCAATGAAGGCCATACACCTTTACTCGATTCAATCACTAGATCTTCATTGTCTCAAGTCTTTCCCAAGACACTTTGCAATAAGCGACAACGTCGTATTTTCCTTTATAGAACCAGTAGGCTTCAGCGGCGAAAATCCTTGGCATTAAGTATTTGGAGCGCGCTTAGGTAGTCAGAATCAGCTCCGTAAACAAGTGAATTTCCTCATTTGGAACAATTCTAGGTGCTTAGCTGACGCAACTATAACGTCCCAAGTCCCAATTGCATTTACTGACGTCAGTCTTCATGACCTATAGCACATCTAGAAACGTAGGCTTTCAAGAAGCTTATCACAAGTGCGGTCAGACGGAGCTTACAATGCCTAATAGGTATGCTTGAGAAGTACAGTTAGAGACAATACTATTCAGTTCATCAGGACACTAAGTTCATTATGGAGTAGGCCCGAATGATAATTGGGAACTCCAGTAGATGATTGGTTAGAATTAGCGTTGAACACCAAAGCGGCCGCGCGAGGTTTATTTTCGAGGGTCTACGAAAAAATCTCGCATGAAAAGCTGTTCTTAGTTCCCCTCGATTCCGCAAAAAGAAAAACTTTGGTAAAGAATTATGCGTATCCGGAACCATAAGTTATTTTCAAGGCGTATTTAGTATGCTCGTTTCAGACAACCCCATTCCCAGTAGTGGAAGGGGTCGCTGCTGAAGAGTCACTATTTGGTGTTCTACGATAAAGGTGACACGAATGGAACGAGGAGATCCGTCTAGGTGCACTGAAGCGGGAGTAATTACCGAAAATGACTTAGTTGATGGAAAAATTAGTTTCGAGGTGAACGTTTAGTTGGACGATCGTTCTTTAAACGCTGTAACTACTCTTTCAGTGCACCTTAAAGAATAAATGACGAGTTAGAGGGCGAGTGAATGAACCGTCAGAAGCAGAGAGCTATAAACTTAATTCTTGTTGTTTGCGTCCTTCGAAGTCGGACCGGCTGCAGGCTTGGAAGTCGATGGCTCTTTCGTAGGCGGTTGCATGGCAGTAGTCGGTGCGTTTTCGAATCGAGTGCGTTCCTGCCAGTCGCCCTGGTTACCGGCTGAATTTCGAGGAAAATCGATGATTTAAAATCAAAAAGCTCATTTAAATATGTTTAAAAAGGTCGGCCAGTATGGCGGGGCAGTCCGGTATGGAAAGTGCATGGCCCCACCTAGTACATAAATTTCAAAGTTTTCTGTGTTGAACGAGCTATCATTCTGATACATTGCACGCGTTCACTCGTGGTAATTACGCGGACGATATTTGTCCCCTGTATGCCGTGAATTCCAACCATTCCAGGTTATCGAGAAGCGCCTGAACGAGCCTGACCATAGGACCATTTGGCTTCCCAGCACGAAGATGTGCAATAATGGAGCCCTCAGAATGGCTCTCTGCTTTGTGTAAGTCGCTTACTGTCATGCAAACTAGTGTTTGTTGGGTGCAACTACACTCTGCTAGTTGTTGCTTGTTCCA